TCTGCCAGCCTCAAATCTCCAACTATTCCCAGAAAGGCAGCACAGTGTCAGTGAAGGAATCCTGGGCCAGCAAACCATGCCCAACTCACTAAAACCTGTCTAGCCTGTGCAATGCGCCAGCATACTCCACTCCCCTCCCAAGCCCACCCCTGTGAAGACCAAGCTGGTGAAGAACCAGCTGTAGGCTCAGCCATGAGAAGGGCCTGGCTTCAGCTGGAGAGAGAAGATGGCTCATATGGAAGAAGAGAAGTATCTCTCCATCTCCTGCAGTAATCTCAAGGCTCTAACTTTGTTCCCCACCAAACATGCGCCGTTGGCTGCTCCTGGTAGCATGTGCTAAACAGCATCTCTGGCCTCGTATCTGTCAGGGCCAAGGGGTTTGCTGGGAGAGGCGGGGAGGGGGATTCAGTTCATATTTAGTTTTCTCAGCTCCATGGCAAGAGCAAACCTTGCCACGTAAAGGCTCTGTTTCTGACCCTAGCTGAGATGGGCATCACTCAAGACAGGGCAAGAGCCACCCCAGGGATGCCAGAGAGAAGAAGAGACAAACCACCCTCTGCGAAGTACTTTGGGTGCCTCTAAGATCTTGTTAAATAGCTGGACCTAGCAGTCCTGGCAAGCCCCAGTACCAGTGAGGCTTCCACTCGCACTAACCAGCATTTTGTAGTCAATCTGCTGCCGGATAAGCTTGTCTTCACTGAGGGAGTAGCGAGCCTCTCCTGTGATGGCATCAATGGGTCCCTTCTCCATTTGCTGCTTGATGGCACAGTAGAGCATGAAGAGTGGTTCCCCAGCACACTCCTGCGGGACAGGGGATGGAGGAGAGGGAGGGAGAGGGGTGAGAAGGTGTCAGGCGCCAGCCTTGCCTTTCAAGAACCACCACAGGAGCCTGCTGTGACCTTGCAGCATTAAGCCCCAATATGTGGCTTTATAAAGAGTCTCCAGCCCTTGCTCATGACTGCAAGGAAGGGGGCACGTGGTAAAATTGGTGGAGGGATTCTCTCCTTCCAAGCCTGCTGGAGGTTGTTCCCTTGTCTATCAATCCTTAGGCTCAGCTTCCCAGAGTTTCCAGACACTCCCAGTAAATTCTGCTCATTCTACAGGCCAAAAATGAGCTAAAAAGGTTAAATTAGGGGCTAGTGAAGAGCAGGTTGGGTCTGGGGCTTTAAGGAATATATATGGGATATAGCCTGTCTTTTGAGCCGGCTCAGCCAAGAGAAGCACTTGAGAACTGGAAAGGGCACACTGCAGTGGGACAGCCTGGGGGGCCTTGCCCAGGTATCATGATGCAGCTCTGGCATCTGCCAGGACCCCAGTCTCACATGAGAGAAGGTCAGAGGAGGCTTCTCCATATGATGGCTGGGCACAGCCAGCCAGATCCACCAGGAAGGAAAAGCAAGACAGTAACTCACTGACAACCCTACCCTGAGTCTCCAGCTGATGTAGGGGACCAGGCAATGAGGTTTCCTGAAGTTAAACCATTTGCCACCTGCACGTCCCCACTGCCAAACCCCTACAGTCAGAGCCATCTTTAGTCACCAGCCAGAGCCACATCAGCATCTATCTCATAGGTGGGGGAAGGGAGTGGGAAATTGGACCAGACACTTCCCCAAAAGATGCTGGAACTGCAGCAACCCAGGAACACCAATGGACCTGCCAAGGTCGGAAGCACCAACCAGTCTGGAGCCACGGGTTGGCGTAAGGGTGCTGGAAGTGGACACCCCTTTATCACCCAGGGGCCAAACCTCTCCCCTAAGCTGCATCCCAATGAGCCCTTCCAGATATAGGCATTAGCCCTAACGGGGAAAAAAGGATACACTGGGAGCAGAAAGGATGGGAAGAAATCCCAGCAGATTTTACCCCACCAGCCCTCACCCCTCCTTCCCGGCCGCCTCACAAATAAATTGTACTTTGGTGCAAAGTGCGGCTGCTCTCCCTGTCGCCATATGCTGTTAGCATCTCGTTAGCATCTGCGGTAATTAAAGAGACAGCTGCTAACGAGCAGGAACAGGCATACATCATCCCCAGACCTTCCGACAACATGCCTGTCTTTGAAATTATGTTTCATTTGCAAACTTGGCTTCATTAAGTCAGCCTGGAAAAGTGAGACACCCAAGGTGGGTGCTACGCCGCGCATTATCGGCTGCGTAGCAAGGGGGGAGTGCCAGGCTGGCCGCAGAGCCCTGAGCCCCCAGGGGCTCCCATGGCACCCCGAGCCCACCCTCCGGCCATGGTAGAAAGACTTGAGTTGTTTCTTTTGATCGCTTGTAAAAACTCCTCGACTTCCAAGTCTGCGGAAGTGGTGTGGATGGAGGGCAGCTTAGAGCGGGACTCCTGCTCACATCTGGCACAGCTGCTCCCACCTCAGCCCACAGATTTCCCCCCTCTGGCGAGGCACGGTTGCTGCCCCCACATCTGCAGCTCTGCGCCCACCTCTGGGGATCCCCACCGAGAGAGGTGGGCTCAGCCCTTCTCACACTGGCAGCCCAGCTGCACTCCAGGCATCACAGCATCAGCTCCTCCGCTCCTCGGACACCGGCCGGGCTGATGGGGAGTAAATCTCTCTTCTGGATGCATGGATTAGAGCTGGCCCTATGGCCTGCCCGGAGGGATGGAGGCATCAGTGGTCCTGGTGATAGGTACGTCACTCCTCCAGCACCATGCAGGCTTTGGGCGGCTCCTGCGTGCCCCAGGATCCTGGTCCCCTTCCGACCTGTCAGGCACCCCAATGTCAACCAGAACAGCCCCTCTGCCCTGTCCCCGACTCTGCACATCCTCCACGTTGCAGCCAGGCTTCCCCACTTATTCCAAATGTGTATCCACCTACCCTTAAAATCCAAAACCTCACTCCCAACCTCACCGTCCCCACGGGCTCCTGAGGCCTGGGGCTGAGATGCTGCCGTGGGTCACAGCTCACTGAGCCACAACAGATGCGGATGGTTTTAGGGCTCGTCCTTGACAGAGACCAACAAAATGAACAGGGACCACAGAAACCGGTGCCAGGCCGTTGCTCGGAGATGACCTCCATCAGGTGAGATAAAGAAGGGGACCACTGAGATAGGGCCGGGAAGCCCTGCAAGTTGATGGAGGGCAACCTGCCCCCCAAACACAGCCATG